ATTGTTACTGAGGGCCACAGAAACCGTTTACTTAGGGCCACGTAAACGTTAATCAGGGACAGACACAGAATTGTTACTTACTGAAGGTACTGACGGCCACAGATCCGTGTTACTTAGGGCCACGTAAACGATGTCAGGACACAGAGAATTGTTACTTAGGGGCCACTTAGGGTAAACGTTAATCAGGGACACAGAATTGTTACTGAGGGCCACAGAAACGTTACGTTTAGGGCCACATAAACGTTAATCAGGGACACAGAATTGTTACTTAGGGCCACAGAACCCGTTACTTAGGGCCACAGAAATTTGTTACTCACGGACAGACACAGAATTGTTTCTTGAGGGACACAGAATTTTTACTGAGGCCACAGAACCGTTACTTAGGGCCACAGAAACGTTAATCAGGGACACAGAATTGTTACTGAGGGCCACAGAACCGTTTACTTAGGGCCACGTAAACGTTAATCAGGGACAGACACAGAATTGTTACTGAGGGACACAGAATTGTTTACTGAGGGCACAGAACCGTTACTTAGGGCCACATAAACGTTAATCAGGGACACAGAATTGTTACTTAGGGCCACAGAACCGTTACTTAGGGCCACATAAACGTTAATCAGGGACACAGAATTGTTACTTAGGGCCACAGAACCGTTACTTAGGGCCACAGAATTGTTACTCACGGACAGACACAGAATGTTTCTTGAGGGACACAGAATATTTTACTGAGGGCCACAGACCGTTACTTAGGGCCACAGAAACGTTAATCAGGGGACACAGAATTGTTACTGAGGGCCACAGACAAACCGTTACTTAGGGGCCAGCTACGTAAACGTTAATCAGGGACATGACACAGAATTGTTACTGAGGGACACAGAATTGAGTTACTGAGGGCCACAGGAACCGTTTACTTAGGGCCACATAAACGTTAATCAGGACACTGAATTGTTACTGAGGGCCACAGAACCGTTACTTGAGGGCCTACAGAACCGTTACTGAGGGCCACAGAACCGATTAACTTAGGGCCACAGTTAAACGTTAATCAGGGGGACACAGAATTGTTACTGAGTGGGCCACAGAAACGTTACTTTAGGGGCCACATAATTGTTACTCAGGGACAGACACAGAATTGTTACTGAGGGACACAGAATTGTTACTGAGGGACAACACGAACCGTTACTTAGGGCCACAGAATTGTTACTCAGGGACAGACACAGAATTGTTACTCAGGGACACAAGAATTGTTTACTCAGGGACAGAGGAATCGTTGAATTAAAGAGTATGTCAGACAACATGCAGAGGAGTGGCAGAGGAGCAATGTTTTAGGAGCGAGCAGGTACGGTGGCAGCAGACGGAAAGGGGTCGAGGCAGCACTATTCGCAGCCAGAGGGCCAGTGCCTCCCGGTGTCATCCAGCGTCGTGTCTCCACCGGACAACCCTGCCGTCATCGATTGGTTAGGGCTCGGTCGTCTTCCTCTTCCCAGCGTCACCTCTGACACCTTACAGCCAACTGTCGGTTGGGTTACGTCAGACACAACCGTTAGATGTGGCATGGCCCGGGACCAAGCCCACTGAAATCACGTGTCCTCTAGCCTTCCCCTGTCCTTTGGTGTCCCTCACCAAGCGAAGGCAGTATCGCATGCTGTGGCTCAGCCCCACTGTACAGTGCAGGAAGAGCTAACAGAGTGCGTGACTAGGAACGGGGGGAGAACATCCGCCTTTTCAGCAGCCAGGCAAAGAAGTAGGTGGCGAGGAGAGTGGCCCCGGTTAGCCGGTCTAGAGACAGGTCCTGTCTCCTGACCCAGACGCAGCCTGAGGGGGCTAGTAGTGAGGCGGAGAGACCCTACTTGATGATGAGGAGGTTGATCGCACAACTTGGCAGCCTCGTCGTCATCAGGCAATTTCTTTCCGCCGCATCATCAGGGAGAAGAGGGTGGCAGCTTGGCAGGTGAGCGAAAAAACAGTCGGTGGGTTGCCCAGGAGACAGCAGCAGGGGTCGCAGCAGTGTCAGTGGAGCCAAACGGCACACGGGAGTAGAGCACCCAGCTCACACTGCAGCCTAACCACCACTGCCAGTAGTGGTGCCGGTGTGCACGGACGGATGGGAAGCAGCAGTCAGCCAGTGTGAGAGGAGTATCGGGGGCAAAGTTTCCTACACTGGCGTGTGGCAATTTTCGTCAAGTCCGCCCGAGGAAGTAAACTGTAGACCGTAAGTCGACTATGTGGCCAGAAAGTCAAGCGTAGGCCAGGGGGGGCCCCATGTTGGACTACAGCGTTGCGGCAGCATATGCCAGCGTGCGCCATTTGGTGGCCTGGGTAAAACCGTGAATTAAAGATACGGCCGGTTCTGCCCCCGCCCCAGCCCCCGCTCCATCACCCGCTCCTTTACTTGTTACTTGCTCCGTCACCCGACGTCAATCGCCCTCCATCAGCCAGTCAAGGCTCCAACACCTCTGCTGAGGGGAGGGGGGGGGTTTTTTCGCTCGTTGGCATCTTCCGCTCGTTCAGATGCTCCTTCTCCTGCTATTACTCCTCTTCACGGATTCCGTCAGCAGTCTTTCTTGGAATCCGTTTCCAAGGAAGACAACAGTTTTGCGAGCACGCACCCGACGGTGGCAAAAGCTGAACGTCCTCCTGTCCAAGTTGCTGGTTGCTGCAGTTCCCTCCCTTTCCAAGTGGTGGGACTCAGCACCTTTCCAGAGAAATGATGGCTTGTGCCGCGCCGCGGTGGAGAGAGTGCCCAAGCCGTCATTTTTCTTCGCCAAAAAGGCAGTGCCAGCCCTGCATTCACAGTAGAAGACATGGTGGGCCAGTCCCTTTGAGCATTTTCGGTCTCTCTGCCAAAGTGCACGGCAGGCCGCCGACGTGTGGAGCGTGTAACTACGGTCAGGGACAGTACATGTCATTTACGGCCCACTGGTGAAACGTGGTGCCGTCACAGCTGCACCAGCAACTTGGAGACAGGTCACGCCGCTTTTGCCTCCACGTTTGCACTATCCTTGGTCCGGCAAAGATGTCCGCCTCTAACTCACCTCTTCTTTCTTCCGCCGTGTCCTCAGCCGCCCCACCCCCCGTGCCAAGTCCCATTACCCGACCGGCATATCACATGTGCAGGGCTGCAACTGTGTCATCACGCTGTTCTGCACCTGGTATGCCTTTGGCGAACGTAGTCACACAGGGGAGGAGAACTTCCTGAGTGTAAATGAACAGAGAATTCGACAGATGGCTGTCTCCGCGCAAACTGAAATCGGAAACCATGTTGACCGACAACGGAAAGAACATGGTGTCTGCTCTGCGTCAAGGGAAGGTTGTGCCATGCGCCATGCATGGCTCACGTGGTTCAATCTGGTTGTCAGAAGCGGTTCCTAAAATCCACCATCCCACTGCAAGACATCCATTAAAATGTCAACGTTAAACTTTGCATGCATTTCAGCCATTTTTCCTACACCGCAAAGCACACCCTCCTTGAGCTGCAGCGGCAGAACGAATTCCACATCATCGCCTGATCTGCGACGTTGCAACAAGGTGGAATATCAACCCTACACGCATGTTAGTGACCGCCTTTACAGCAGCGAAAGGCCATCGCCGATTTCCTGATGTTAAAAGCGGATAAAAGGTACTCCCTGTGTAACTTCGGATGTCCAGCCGATTGGCAGCTCATGCGTGACACCTGCCGCTTGCTCAGGCCCTTTGAGGAGGCCACGCTATTCGTGAGTCGGCAGGACTATGGACTGAACGACGTCATTCCTCTGTTGCACGTCCTTGAAAAAATGCTGTTACGAAAGGCTGGTCAGGGTGCGGTAGACCGTGGCGGCACAGATCTCAACACCACATGACCCCTGTGGGGGCTGAGGACAGCGAAGAAGAGGAGGAGGTAGAGGAGGACATTTGTGCTCAGGAATTATTGAGTGAAATGGGTGGTTTTTCCACTCAGCGCGACAGGACCGTGGAGGGGCAGGAGCATCTGGTAGAGGAGGAGGAAGGAGGAGAACAGAGGACCCAGAACGCACCGTGGCAGTATGCTGTGGTAGGATGGAGGCTGGGCATGGGAGTCCCTCGCATTCCTTCGGCACAAATGGCCCATAGCATGCCGGGGTTGCTTGCGTAGCGACACAGTCCGAATAATAACCATCAGACAGAGGGATGACTTTTGGCTGTCCACCTTGTTGGACCCTTGCTATAGCCGTTCAAAAATGGTGGCCTTTTTCACACCTGCTGAGAGGGAGGCCAAAATAACGTACTATTAAAAACCACCTATGTAGTCAGTTGGTCTCTGCCTTTGTGCGCCAACGTCATCCTCAACACTGTGGGGGCCCTGTGCGCTCGCGTTCCGCTGCCATGGCAGCAGGGGAGGGTGGGTGGTAGGAGCAGTGGCAGCTCCACCAGGCAGCGGCTGCCTCAGTCTGCAGTCCCGATGGATGAGTAGCTTTCTTCACCAGCGCAGTGAGGAAACTACTAACCAGGCCGCAGCAGCAAGCAGCAGCAGCATCAGCGTGGACCTTGGGAGCAGGACCTCAAACAACAGGCTTGTGGGCCTACTTGGACAGCACACCTAGCCAACCGAGTGAGACAATCTCCGTTGACTACTGGGGCAACGAAACTTGACCTTTGGCCCCAACTAGGCTGAATTTGCCCTTGAAAGGCTGTCATGCCCTGGCCAGTAGCGTGGGCATCGGAGCGTGTGTTTAGTGCGGCAGGAGGTATTGTTAACTCCGCGGAGGGACACGACTGTCCACCCAAAGTGTGGAGAGAGCTCACGTTTGTGAAAATGAATCAGGCGTGGATTAGTCTGGATTTCAAACCAACCAGTTCCTGACACAACTGACTAAATCCCGCCATTGAAAAATCATGCCTCAAACATGTGCCCTTTAAGGTCTTCCTCACATCACACTGCTGGTGTGTTCCATTTTTTGTCATAGGGTGCTGGCAGATTACGGGCCTCCCATATAGCTGCTGCCAGGCCCCTAATCTTGCCATGGGGCCCCTATATTACCGCCTCCTCATGCTGCACTGCCAAGTCCAGAGTCTCTCATGGGTCCCTGTACGTGCCTCCCATTGCTGCTGTCTCTCCCATCGCCACACTCTGCCATGTGCCACTTTCAGGTCTCCCTCACACTGCTGGTGTGTAAAATTTTTTGACATAGGGTGCTGGCAGATTACGGGCCTCCTATAGCTGCTGCCAGGCCCCTAATCTGCCATGGGCCCCTATATACCGCCTCCTCATGCTGCTGCAAGGTCCAGAGTCTCTCATGGGTCCCTGTACGGCCATCCCCATTGCCTGCTGTCTCCATCGCCACACTCTCTGCCATGTGCCACTTTCAGTCTCCTCACACACTTCGCTGGTGTGTAGAATTTTTTGACATAGGTGCTGGCAGATTACGGCCTCCTATAGCTGCTGCCAGGTGCCCCTAAATCTGCCATGGCCCCTATATACCGCCGTCCTCATGCTGCTGCCAGGTCCAGAGTCTCTCTATGCTCCCTGTACGGCCTCCCATTGCTGCTGTCTCCATCGCCACACTCTGCCATGGTGCCACTTTCAGGTCTCCTCACACACTGCTGGTGTGTAGAATTTTTTGACATAGGTGCTGGCAGATTACGGGCCTCCTATAGCTGCTGCCAGGCCCCCTAATCTGCCAATGGGCCCCTATATACCGACTCCTCATGCTGCTAGCCAGGTCCAGAGTCCTCTCATGGGTCCCTGTACGGCCGACCCATTGCTGCTGTCTCCCATCGCCACACTCTGCCATGTGCCACTTTCAGGTCTCCTCACACACTGCTGGTGTGTAGAATTTTTTGACATAGGTGGCTGGCAGATTACGGGCCTCCTATAGCTGCTGCCAGGCCCCTAATCTGCCATAGGCCCCTATATACCGCCTCCTCATGCTGCTGCCAAGTCCAGAGTCTCTCATGGGGTCCCTATACGGCCTCCCATTGCTGCTGTCTCCATCGCCACACTCTGCCATGTGCCACATTCAGGTCTCTTCACACTGCTTGTGGTTTTCAATTTTTTTGACATAGGGTGCTTGGCAGATTACGGGCCTTCCCATAGCTGCTGCCAGGCCCCTAATCTGCCATGGGCCCCTATATACCGCCTCCTCATGCTGCTGCCAAGTCCAGAGTCTCTCATGGGTCCCTACACGGCCTCCCATTGCTGCTGTCTCCATCGCCACACTCTGCATGTGCCACATTCAGGTCTCTTCACACACTGCTTGTGTTTTCAATTTTTTGACATAGGGTGCTGGGCAGATTACGGGCCTCCCATAGCTGCTGCCAGGCCCCTAATCTGCCATGGGCCCCTAATTATACCGCCTCCTCATGCTGCTGCCAAGTCCAGAGTCTCTCATGGGTCCCTATACGGCCTCCATTGCTGCTGTCTCCATCGCCACACTCTGCCATGTGCCACTTTCAGGTCTCCACTCACACACTGCTGTGTTGTAGAATTTTTTGACATAGGGTGCTGGCAGATTACGGGCCTCCTATAGCTGCTGCCAGGCCCCTAATCTGCCATGGGCCCCTATATTACCGCCTCCTCATGCTTGCTGCCAGGTCCAGAGTCTCTCATGGGTCCCTGTACCGGCCTTCCCAATTGCTGCTGTCTCCATCGCCACACTCTGCCATGTGCCACTTTCAGGTCTCCTCACACAACTGCTGGTGTGTAGAATTTTTTGACATAGGGTGCTGGCAGATTACGGGCCTCCTATAGCTGCTGCCAGGCCCTAATCTGCCATGGGCCCCTATATAACCGCCTCCTCATGCTGCTGCTGCCAGGTCCAGAGTCTCTCATTGGTCCCTGTAACGGCCTCCCATTGCTGCTGTCTCCATCGCCACACTCTGCCATGTGCCACTTTCAGGTCTCCTCACACACTGCTGGTGTGTAGAATTTTTTGACATAGGGTGCTGGCAGATTACGGGCTCCTATAGCTGCTGCCAGGCCCCTAATCTGCCATGGGCCCCCTATATACCGCCTCCTCATGCTGCTGCCAGGGTCCAGAGTCTCTCTCATGGGTCCCTGTACGGCCTCCCATTGCTGCTGTCTCCATCGCCACACTCTGCCATGTGCCACATTCAGGTCTCTTCACACTGCTTGTGTTTTCAATTTTTTGACATAGGGTGCTGGCAGATTACGGGCCTCCCATAGCTGCTGCCAGGCCCTAATCTGCCATGGGCCCCTATATACCGCCTCCTCATGCTGCTGCCAAGTCCAGAGTCTCTCATGGGTCCCTATACGGCCTCCATTGCTGCTGTCTTCATCGCCACACTCTCTGCCATGTGCCACTTTCAGGTCTCCTCACACACTGCTGGTGTGTAGAATTTTTTGACATAGGGTGCTGGCAGATTACGGGCCTCCTATAGCTGCTGCCAGGCCCCTAATCTGCCATGGGCCCCTATTATACCACCTCCTCCATGCTGCTGCCAGGTCCAGAGTCTCTCATGGGTCCCTGTACGGCCACCCATTGCGCTGTCTCCATCGCCACACTCTGCCATGTGATACTTTCAGGTCTCCTCACACTGCTGGTGTGTTGAATTTTTTGACATAGGGTGCTGGCAGATTACGGGCCTCCTATAGCTGCTGCCATGCAGGCCCTAATCTGCCATGGGCCCCTATATACCGCCTCCTCATGCTGCTGCCAAGTCCAGAGTCTGTCATGGGTCCCTGTACGGGCCTCCCATTGCTGCTGTCTCCATCGCCACACTCTGCCATGTGCCACTTTCAGGTCTCCTCACACACTGCTGGTGTGTAGAATTTTTTGACATAGGGTGCTGGGCAGATTACGAGCCTCCTATAGCTGCTGCCAGGCCCCTAATCTGCCATAGGCCTCTATATACCGCCTCCTCATGCTGCTGCCAAGTCCAGAGTCTGTCATGGGCCCCCTATACCGCCTCCTCATGCTGCTGCCAGGTCCACAGTCTCTCATGCCCATGTGCCACTTTCAGGTCTCCTCACACTGCTGGTGTGTTGAATATTTTGACATAGGGTGCTGGCAGATTACGGCCCTCCCATAGCTGCTGCCAGGCCCTAATCTGCCATGGGCCCCTATACCGACTCCTCATGCTGTGACGTTGCAACAAGGTGGAATTCAACCCTACATATGTTAGACCGCCTTTACGAACAGCAAAAGGCCATCACAGATTTCCTGATGTTAAAAGCAGATAAAGGTACTCCCTGTGTAACTTAGATGTCAGCCATTGGCAGCTCATGCGTGACACCTGCGCTTGCTCAGGCCCTTTGAGGAGGCCACGCTATTCGTGAGTCGGCAGGACTATGGGATGAACGACGTCATTCCTCTGTTGCACATCCTGGAACAAATGCTGTTAACAATGGCTGGTCAGGGTGCGGTAGACGTGGCGCACAGATCTCAACGCCACATGACCCCTGTGGGGGGGGCAGGACAGGAAGAAGAGGGAGGAGGTAGAGGAGGACATTGGTGCTCAGGAATTATTGAGTGAAATGGGTGGTTTTTCCACTCAGCGGACAGGAGTGGAGGAGCAGGAGCATCTGGTAGAGAGGAGGAGGAAGAGGAGACAGAGGACCCAGACGCACCGTGGCAGTATGCTGTGGAGATGGAGGCAGGGAGTCCCTCGCATTCCTTGGCACAAATGGCCCATAGCATGCTCGGTTGCTTGCGTAGCGACAGCCGAATAATAACCATCAGACAGAGGGATGACTTTTGGCTGTCCACCTTGTTGGACCCTCGCTACCGTTCAAAAATGGTGGCCTTTTTCACACCTGCTGAGAGGGAGGCCAAAATAACGTACTCGTTCAGATGCTCCTTCTCCTGCTACTCCTCTTCACGGATTCCGTCAGCAGTCTTTCTTGGAATCCGTTTCCAAGAGACAACAGTTTGCGAGCACGCACCCGACGGTGCAGAAGCTGAACGTCCTCCTGTCCAAGTTGCTGCTGCCAGGCTCGTAATCTGTCATGCGCCCCTGTACCGCCTCCTCATGCTGCTGCCAGGTCCAGAGTGTGTCATGGGCCCCCGTACCGACTCCTCATGCTGCTGCCAGGCCCGTAATCTGTCATGGGCCCCTGTACCGCCTCCCCATGCTGCTGCCAGGTCCAGAGTGTGTCATGGGTCCCTGTACGGCCTCCCATTGCTGCTGCCAGGCCCGTAATCTGCCATGGGCCCCCGTACCGACTCCTCATGCTGCTGCCAGGCCCGTAATCTGCCATGGGCCCCTGTACCGCCTCCTCATGCTGCTGCCAGGTCCAGAGTGTGTCATGGGTCCCTGTACGGCCTCCCATTGCTGCTGTCTCTATCGCCACACTCTGCCATGTGCCACTTTCAGGTCTCCTCACACTGCTGGTGGTTTCCATTTTTGTCATAGGGTGCTGTATGGCCTCCCATTGCTGCTGCCTCCACCGCCACACTGTGGCTCCACACTCTGGTTTTGGCCCCGTGACTGCCCAAATGAGTGAAGTTTGCGGTGATTCTAAGATCGACGGCACTCATCTGCATGTCATACTGACTGACAGTATTATTTCTCTTCCCCAGCAGACTCCAAGGGCATTTAAATTAAAGGTACAGTGTTCTGCACTAATATTAAGTCTCTCTGAAGCCTAGAAACACCCTTTTTTAAGTTAAATTCACAGCGAATTTATTCGACTCGAATCGAATATTGTCCACGAATTCGCCAAATCAGTCGAATCGAATTTTTCATTTCTTCGCTCATCTCTAGATATTATATGTGATTGCATTGAGCAAAAAAGGAATGAATATCAACATCTCAGACTGATTTACACTAGCCAATATTCATGTAGGTGCCAAACAATAGTTTATGTATTAAAAAAACTATGATGTCAACCTTACACTTTCTTGATACATGTTATTGAAATGACATAGCTTACATATGACAGGGTCACATTTACCAGACAATACAAAGTGGCACATTTTCAAGGACATACGAACAAACGTAAGCCTAAACAGAAATAGAATCTATTCAACTTCAAGGACAAGACCTTGTCAGTGGTGTATTTTGTTCATGTGCTGTCCTTGGCAACACTAAAATTGGGCACCCCCCTCCCCCCCCAGGGCCCCCTAGGAGGAATAGCTATCAAGGAAAGGCTAGCGGCAGGAAGCTACTGGGCCACCCCAGCAAGAAATTAATCCAGGAGCTTAGCTGGCCAACACAAGGAACATGACACTTTTTTATATTTGCTAATTTCAGAAATGTGCTATGCCCAGGGGTGGACTGACCATTTGGAAACTCAGGCTCTGCCCGAGGGCCTGGGGTCAGTAGGGGGCCCCATGAGATGCCCCTGGTACCTTTTTCATAGGCTTTTGTGAGTTTGGGCAAGGACACAGGGGCCCCCATGATCCCCTATTGCCCTGGGGCCCCATGAGTTGTCAGTCTGCCCCTGGATGCCATTTAACAAATAAGTTAATACAGTCAGGGAGCATTATATCCCAATTATATATTGTTTTTTTTACAAATGTTGGGATTTCCATAATCTAAGACTAAGGCAATAAAAGGTATGTTAGTGCTCATTAATATTCATTATGACTTACACTACTTGAACACATGCACCAGAAGTCACATGCATGCCAGTCTACAGAAATTTCATTTAGGCAGCTAAGAGAATTAAAGCATCAACTTTAAATTGATGAGGATGTACAGTATGCTGAAATTCGAAAGCATGAGCACTGAAAGCTCCTTGAAAGTGGGACAGGTTCCTGGTAAATGGCAGAAAGAAGTAAAATGGTAAAGAATTTAAAGAAACCTTTCATTGCTTCACAATGGAGCAGATCAATTACCCTGGATAGGTCAGCACTTTGCAGCAAATATTCAATCACTGCA